AGGAGCTAAGAAGATAAAAACAGGGAGGAACGTTCCAAGGCATGAAGTCTACAGCAGCTGAACGTGCTTGGAGAGTGTAAGTAGTTCCATGTAGGTGGAGTACAAAGTGTGTGTGTGTGTGTGTGAGTGTGAGAGTAAGTGTATGCACGCATGTACATGGAGGTGAGGGCGCGTCCTGGGAGGGGGCAGGGCAGCTCAGGGGCAGCTCTGTGCACAAAATATGCCAAAGAGTGTCTCAGAAGGTGTTCAGCTCTGCATTCTAGAGTCAGCCACGGCAGTTCACCGACGGAGGTCAGAACACGGACGGCGGACACGCCTCACCCTGCACACTGATGTCGATCTGATGCTTCACAGTGACTTTGGATGAAAGTGCTTAATGCTCTGCTTTCAGCGTCACGGAAGAGGACAGCAGTGGTGAAAACACCCCACTTGGGCCGGACGCGGACAGGTCTGAGACTGGCTTCCGTCCCCAGCAGCACAGAGGCCCACTCGGGCTCACAATGAACCTCCCTTCGTGTCAGGTGGAGCTGTTTGCAGAGGACCCGAGGGCGGCACGAACAACTACTGTCCCAGGTACCGCTGGAGGTGATCAGAGCTCCGATGTCGCACGAGAAATCAGTCAAGCTGCTGCCGTCCGGGGCTCCATCCTGCCTGTGTCCCCCAGAGGCCTCGGCGGGGATGGGCTGACCAGAAGGAAGGAGGCTGTGCTCTGGAGTCCCCCAGGCTTTCGGAGATGGCTGGAGGGGAGGAGCCAAGGATTCCCCAGGGGCCGCCTGCCCCTGAGCGACGGGCAGGCAGGTGCTGCAGGGTCTCTGAGCACGGGCGCACCTGCCACGCACTCCCTCCCTGGGTGCGCTTTGCTTAGAACAAGCCCGAGGCCACAGGTGGTATAAAGACATCTGCTTCAGGGATTCCCGGCTTGCGTCCAATGCTTGCTACAAACTTTCTCAACACAGGCACAAAGTATCAGCCAGGAAATGCAGGAAACACCTCCCTACACACACACACCACACACACCACATACCACACACACACGCCACACACACATGCCACACACACGCCACACCACACACACCACATACACCACACACACGCCACACCACACACACACACACACCACATACACCACACACACACCACATACACCACATACACGCCACACACACACGCCACACACCACATACACGCCACACGCCACACACACACGCCACACCACACACACACACCACATACACCACATACACGCCACACGCCATACACACATGCCACACACACCACATACACGCCACACACCACACACACACACCACATAACACCACATACACGCCACACACCACACACACCACATACACGCCACACGCCACACACACCACATACACGCCACACGCCACACACACACGCCACACACGCCACGCCACACACGCCACACACACCACACATACACCACACACATACCACACACGCCACACACACACCACACACAAAGAAGCCACACACACACACCACACCGCACACACACACCGCACACACACACCACACACACGCACGCACACACACACACCTCCTGTGTCTTTGTGTGAACACATCATGGTGCTGGGTCAGTGCAAGAATCCTTCCGTCCTCAGCTTCCAGGTCCTGTCCTGACAGTAAGGACCGTGGGCGGGGATGAAGGCCACAGCAAACCCAGGCTAAGGCGTGTGCAGGCCAGCAGGTTGGCATGTGCTGGGGTGCTATGTCCCAGGCAGGTACGCCATGAGCACTGGGGGACCCAGAGGCCGGCCTGTCTGGGCCACCGTTAACCAGAAAGCTTATACGGGAAGAGCCTGGAGCCAGCGTCCCAAACCCGACCCGGAAGGGTGTGAAAGACGGTGGGGACAGTCATGTAACTTGCTCCACACCGTGTGTTGGGAGGCAGTGGAGAAAATGAAACATCTCGTGGACATGAAGTAAGACAGACTTAAGACGAAATCCCAGCCACTGCAGTTAGTGGCCCCCGGGCCCTGATTCTGCCATCTTTAAAATGGAACTGGTAAAGCCTCCATCACGGGGCCACGTGGCACCAGACGACACGCCGAATGAAGAGCACCCAGCAAGGGCGCCAGCTGCCCAGCTACTGACACGTTTGCCGTGATGACAATACACCAGAGTGATGCTGAGTCTCCCCCTGTGCCAACTGCTGGCACCTGCCTCCCTGGTGGTGGCGGTGGTGCTGTTGCCATGGTAACCATCCTCTGCCAAACCTCTGCTCTCAGAGAGGCTCCAGCCATGGGACAGGTCACCCAGAGTGTGCCACCCCTTGAGCCAGGGTCCCCAGGCATGCGAGAGTGGCCCCAGGTTGCAGCTGCAAGAAGGGTGCCCACTCCTTGAGCCCACGCTGCCCCTGCACCCCAGCGGGCTCCCTGCAGTGGCCTCCTGGCATGCTGCACTCTCCAGCTCTGCAGATCCCGCCAGAGCACAGGCGCTCACATCATGGACGCGATGAAACAAAGCCTGGCCCTGCTTTGAAGAAATGACAGCAGACTCAGAAGTGATCGGAGCCCAGTGATGAAGAGGTGCTGGTGGTGGAGTGAGCTGGGGGCTGTGGAAGCCCAGGCCCTGTGTGCACTGTGATCGGGCACCCCAGGCAGGCTCACCCAGCAGGAGGCCTCTGCTGCAGCCAGGGTGAGCCGGTGGGCATCGGGCTGTGCGGATCTGACTGGTGGAGATGCAGGGGGCCAGTTGCAGAGGCACGTGTGCCCACCAACCAACTCGGCCGCTCCACAGAGAGTTCTCTGGTCTGGCCCTGCCTCCTCTCTTCTGGCCCCAGGGCGTCTTGAGCTCTGGCGCCACCTCCCATACCCCCTGCCTCAGGCTTTAAACGCAGTGGCCTCCTCGGGGTCACCACACATCAGTCCAGGCCTCGAGCCCAGCAGCTTCCCCTCTGCTACTAAATGTTGCATCTGGTCAGAGGCACAAAGCTCCTGGAGGGGCCCCACCTCAGCAGACCAGGTCTTTCATGCTCTACTCTGACCCGCTGCCCCATCACCCCCAGCTCAGAAGGACAACAGACCCAGGGGACCCTGCACCTTCCCATTCTACTCCAGCACTAGCCACAGTGTCTCCCTTACCCTGCAGCCCCTGCCCCACGGGGCACCTCGGAGGCTAGACAGACAAGTTTGAATGAGGGCACTCCACTGTGGGCAGAGACAGGTGTGTCCCCACTTCCTCGGGGCTGTGGCTTAGGTACCAGGGCTCACCCTCCCCCCCCTTCCTGCTTGCGGAGGGAGGGCAAGTCCTAAGGGAAAGGAAGGACCACCGGCACCAGGTGACAATAGCAGCCGCAGCCACAGCTCGGCCCACGCCGGGCACGGGCACAGGGCAGCAGCCGCAGCCACAGCTCGGCCCACGCCGGGCACGGGCACAGGGCAGCAGCCGCAGCTCGGCCCACGTTGGGCACGTGCACAGGGCAGCAGCCGCAGCCACAGCTCGGCCCACGTCGGGCACGGGCACAGGGCAGCAGCTGCAGCTCGGCCCACGCTGGGCACGGGCACAGGGCGCTGACAGGAGCACACAGCACTGCTCTGATCTCTGATACCAGGTGCTGAGCCAAGGAGGAGCCCCCAGGTCCCTGAGCCTGTCAGTGATGGGGGTGGGACTGAGTGGGCGGGGCCTGAATAGCGCTGCCTATGGCTCCGCCCACCCGGCCCCCAGAGTGCCTGCCCCCCTGGCCTGGCCTTTCTCCTCCCACAGCTGCTGCTTCTGGGAGCCTGCTGTCTGGTGGCCTGGCTCCTCTACTTCTGGAGGAATTCGGACTGAATAGGGAAACAATCTCTCCCACAATTTCCCCAGAAACCAGAGGTAGCAAGTACAGCCCAACAGGAAGGAAAACAACTTGTGAAAAGAACGCATCCATTCAAGTCACAGGTCAGCTTGCCCTCGCAGCGGCAGCTCAGTCTCCTGCTCAGGGCCTGGCACTCCCCGACCCCACCCCAGGCTGGCCCCTTCAGCAGGCAAGGGCCAGCAGCGCCAAGTGGAGGCAGGAGGTGGAGGCAGGATAGCTCCGGGGTCCTGCGGGCTCCGGCTACCATAAGGAGTATGTGTGGGGCCCTGAGCTCCCTGCTGAGCTCCCAGGAGGCTGAAGGGAGAACAGCCTCCTCCTGCCCTGTCCTGTCTCAGGATCTGGGACAGTCGGTCTCCTATGGGCTTCGGGCTCCTGTTCCCGCAACAAGACCCTGGAGGACAATGTCGATGGTTTAGACAATCAGCAAGAACAAGACTCTCGGAGACCAGCACAAGGGCCAGAGCACCACCTGCTACACAGACTAGCTGGGGCTGGCTCAGGCCCTGAGCACAGACCCCAGACCTTGCCCCAGGCCAGCTGGGTCAGGCCGGGACCACCTGGTAGGCCTTGGGAAGCACACAGGGCTGGGCCATTTGCAGACGCTCTCCTTGGAAGAGCAAGGGAAGAGCACGTGGAAGAGGACCTGGGACATGGACTCTGAGTGATTCCAATGTGGCGGGCAGTGTTCCAAAGAGGTCCCGCCAGAGCCTCCTCCGCCAGCCTGTCAAACTCACCTAGGACTGCTTAAAGGGACCTAGCACCCTCTGAGGGCTAACGGTGCCCAAGTGTGCTTACCCGAGGCCTGAGAGCTGAGGGGTGTGGGGACTTTGGACAGATGGGTCAGGGTGTCCAAACACACGCACCAGGGCCCCTCAGGGTGATCAGGCTGCAGGGGCCAAGGTGCTGAACTGCGAGGTCAAGAATTCTACCTTTAAAACTGCTCTCTCAGGTGTTATAAAGGTAGAACATATTTCATGTAACAGTTTATTAACTTGATTATACCTTTAAAACACCTCAATGCAGAGTGTGTGGCTCCATTTGCGTACCTGCCCTGGGTACACAAATTCAGGAGCACACTGGACTTCATGGCGAAGGGAGCTATGACTTCCACGTGCGTGGGGAAAGCCTAGTTCTCCACATGTGACCGTCTTGAGGGAACAGTCGTGATGGGCTGTCTTACCTTCTCATGATCAAGAAGCTCCTGCAAAATAACTTGTCTTTCCCGACACAGTTCCAAGAAGTCTTCGGAGTGCTGACTCTCGTGCAGGGCCGGGAAGAAGGTCAGCTGGGTGCAGTCTGCTGCCGCCTCGTCCCTTGGGTCCTCCGCTGCCTGCGGAGTCAGCTCGCCTGCAGCGGCAGAAAGGGACACAGTCTGGCAGCAGCCACCTGCCGTCACAGGGGCGTGTGCAGCTGGGCCTGGGTCTCTGGGAGGAGCTGCACGGTTCAGGGAGCACGTGACCGGGGTGCATCACTGTGGCTGAGAGGAACCAGCCCGAGCCTGGGTGAGGTCAGCACCCTCGGGTGATCCCTCCAGGCGTGTACCAGCCGGGCTGCTCCACCAGCGTGTGCTTCGTCACAATCTCACTGTGTTCACTCTCTGCAAAGGGTGCTTCGTTTTATTTTCTAATTATGGAAGTGCTATATTCTTCTTGTAAGAAAAACTTGGAAAAAACGTGAAATTGTGGAAAATGAAGCAAATATGTAGCCAGAGAGAGAGCTGCACGCAGCCTCAGTTTGCAGATGGGAAACGAAGAGCTCAGGGCAATACAGCTGCTGTGCCCAGAGGCACGGTCTCAGGCGTGTCACACTGCGCACAACTGCGAAGTCGAGGGTCACCCGCCATTTCCTTGATGCCAGTGTGCTGACCTCCTTGGCCTCAGCCCACCTGGGCACCCACAGCGGGTGGATGCAAGTGTCTGCTGCCCCCGCGGCAGCTCTCACAAGCTTTCCCCAGCAGGGGGCGCGCCCAGGCCAGCGCAGTGGAAGCCAGCGCCTCCTCTTCTCCACTGGCCGAGATCCCTAGGGCCCAGGGCCTCAGCACACAAAATCTGGGTGGGTGTGTGTGTGTGTGTGTGTGCACGTGTGTGAATGTGTTCTTTCCAAAATGACCTCCGAAAATAAAGCCCGGATTTTCAGCAGATCAACTCTATCAAATTCCTCCATGTAAATTACACAAATAACGAGTCAGCAAAAACACAAAATATGGTTCAAAGTATTTCTTTTTTTAGTTTGGGAAATAAACTTATCTCTGGTGTCACCTGCCACGGCTTTAGTTACCTGCAGTCAGATGCAGTCCAAAAATATCAAATGAGAAATTCCAGAAATAAACAATTAAGTTTTAAACTGTGCACCGTGCTGAGTAGCATGATGAAAACGGCAGCAGTCTCGCTCCCTCCCACCCAGGAAGTGAGCTTCCCTTGTCCAGGGACCCCAGCGCCCTCCCGCAGTCACGGAGCAGCCGGCTCAGCTGTCAGCTCCACTGCTGCTGTCACAGTGCTCATCGTCACGTTGTTGTCCTTATCTTGCTCACTAATGGCCCTGCACAAGAGTAGTGACGCTGGCAGTTCAGCGCAGCCACACACACCCGTACAGTGCCCTTGGACGTGGAAAGGTGGGTATGGGTGGGAAAACCACAGTCTATGGCCCTGCAATGTATCCCCCGTGGGTAAGGGGGCTGATGTGGTACTGACTATTGCATCTGTCATGTTTACCACCAGAGAGTTCAGGGTATGAAGCATTAAATATCTATTCCATCCATGTTTACCCTGAAGTGTTAAGTTATTTTCCTTCTCTGTGTTAGGGTCACACACTGAACATGTATTTGTACTGTTTCAGGGCACTTTTAAGGTTTCCCTGATACAACAAATTGGCAAGATGGTTTCCCTGAAAAAAAGTTTTACTGTTGCAATATTAATATGAACTTCTCCCCCAAGGGGGTTCTGGAGTCTGGAAAGGGTCCCTCTCCATCTGAGTCTTAGCACTGCCTACCCTAGAACTGCAGCACCGTTTCCCTCCGGATACTTATTCCATGTTTTTACTAAGACATTAAATACAACAGGAATGGGTTTGATTTTAAATAAACAACAGATAAATTGACAAACTGAATACCTTTGTTTTCAGCATTTGTTTGAGAAATATCACCATTTCGGTCTTGGCTTCCCTGAAATAAAATCAGAGAAAAGAGAAGTTGAATTCTGGGTACTCCCTATACGTACCCACTTCACCCCACAGATTCACAAACACACGCACGTACACGCCACCCCTTCAAACCAATCCCATACTCAAGACCCAGAGGCAAGGAGAGAAAATGCTAAATCCTAACGGACCACAATAAAATACAAGTATTAATGTTACTGAGTCAAAGGGGAAAAAACCCACAATCTTCCATTAGTAGAATTACAGTAATTACCAAAAATGACGCCAAGATGGGATTAGATCGCATCCCGGATCCGAGGCTGGGCCACCTGGAGAGGGGCTAAGGGACCAGAGGCGGTTTCACACCAGGCCTTTGGCTTGGTCACCAAAACACTGTGCAGGCCTCTCATTTTTTCTGCTTCCATTTCCAAGAAATAATTGAGGAAAAAATACTATATACCACCAGATGTTTATTGACAATACATTAAAAATTCAAGTGTCTACTGAATAAATGAATTATACTTTTTTCATTAGGTTTTATAAAGGATGTAATGTGGATAAAAGATTCTGATACTGCAGACGAGAAAATAGACTCAACACTATCTCCCTTCCAGTGTCTGGAAGGGCGGCCTTTAGGGCATCTAAACCAGGGCTGTTCGATGGAAACTATTAACAGATGTTTCTGTGTCCAATGCCGACCCACTGGTTCCCCATCCCTTAAACGGCAGAGGTATGAGTGTCACGACACAGAGCTCGAGCTTGGTCACAGCCGCCCCCACGGTCTGCCCAGCCTCTGCTGCTAGGCATTCGGGACAGCTTCAGTGTTGTCTGGACTGAGCGGGTCCCCGGCTCGAGCTTGGTCACAGCCGCCCCCACGGTCTGCCCAGCCTCTGCTGCTAGGCATTCGGGACAGCTTCAGCGTCGTCTGGACTGAGCGGGTCCCCGGCTCGAGCTTGGTCACAGCCGCCCCCACGGTCTGCCCAGCCTCTGCTGCTAGGCATTCGGGACAGCTTCAGTGTTGTCTGGACTGAGCGGGTCCCCGGCTCGAGCTTGGTCACAGCAGCCCCCACGGTCTGCCCAGCCTCTGCTGCCAGGCATTCGGGACAGCTTCAGTGTTGTCTGGACTGAGCGGGTCCCCGGCTCGAGCTTGGTCACAGCCGCCCCCACGGTCTGCCCAGCCTCTGCTGCCAGGCATTCGGGACAGCTTCAGTGTTGTCTGGACTGAGCGGGTCCCCGGCTCGAGCTTGGTCACAGCCGCCCCCACGGTCTGCCCAGCCTCTGCTGCTAGGCATTCGGGACAGCTTCAGTGTTGTCTGGACTGAGCGGGTCCCCGGCTCGAGCTTGGTCACAGCAGCCCCCACGGTCTGCCCAGCCTCTGCTGCTAGGCATTCGGGACAGCTTCAGTGTTGTCTGGACTGAGCGGGTCCCCGGCTCGAGCTTGGTCACAGCAGCCCCCACGGTCTGCCCAGCCTCTGCTGCCAGGCATTCGGGACAGCTTCAGTGTTGTCTGGACTGAGCGGGTCCCCGGCTCGAGCTTGGTCACAGCCGCCCCCACGGTCTGCCCAGCCTCTGCTGCCAGGCATTCGGGACAGCTTCAGTGTTGTCTGGACTGAGCGGGTCCCCGGCTCGAGCTTGGTCACAGCCGCCCCCACGGTCTGCCCAGCCTCTGCTGCCAGGCATTCGGGACAGCTTCAGTGTTGTCTGGACTGAGCGGGTCCCCGGCTCGAGCTTGGTCACAGCCGCCCCCACGGTCTGCCCAGCCTCTGCTGCCAGGCATTCGGGACAGCTTCAGCGGCGTCTGGACTGAGCGGGTCCCCGGCTCGAGCTTGGTCACAGCAGCCCCCACGGTCTGCCCAGCCTCTGCTGCCAGGCATTCGGGACAGCTTCAGCGGCGTCTGGACTGAGCGGGTCCCCGGCTCGAGCTTGGTCACAGCCGCCCCCACGGTCTGCCCAGCCTCTGCTGCCAGGCATTCGGGACAGCTTCAGTGTTGTCTGGACTGAGCGGGTCCCCGGCTCGAGCTTGGTCACAGCCGCCCCCACGGTCTGCCCAGCCTCTGCTGCCAGGCATTCGGGACAGCTTCAGTGTTGTCTGGACTGAGCGGGTCCCTGGCATGAGCTTGCAAAAGTAGCCGAGTTCAAGCTATTTCCACTGGAAAACTTACTATGGGGTTTGCTTGTACAACGCCCACAGTGTGCTCCCCGACAAACAGCGTGTGCAAGCTGACAGTGGCCATCGTGTGGCTCTTCCTAAACACTGGGCTTCTGTGGAGGTCAGCGTGGTCCGGGTCAGTGGTGTAGGTATGAACCACTCGTTCATTGATTCATTCATTTAGGCTATATTTACAGCATCCCTTCTCTGTTACCTGGGAGGGTTAGTGATTTTTTTTTTTCTGTTAAACAGTATAAAGAATAAATTAGAGCCCAGCCAGTGTGGCTCAGTGGTTGAGCGTCGACCCTGCACCAAGAGGTCACCGGTCTGATTCCTGGTCAGGGCACATGCCCAGGTTGTGGGCCTGGTCCCCACCCGAGATGGAAGCTGAGGAGACACTGCCCTCCACAGCCTGTCGCGAAGCGTCCCTGCCTGGCTGCACGGGACTCTTACCTCGAGCCTTCCTGCATGCGGGGCCTCGGGTGGGGACAAGCGTCTGAGGCGTGTCCTCATGCGCGCGGGTCCCTCTCTCCAGTCCAGTTCCCACCGGGCGCAGGGCGTGGCTTCTGCTGCCTGGCCCCACAAGCCCAGCTCCCCGAAAAGCTGCTCCTGGATCCTGGCCCAGGCTTTGGCTGCCCGGACATCACCACATCTCCGCCTCTGGGGACCAGAAGTGCAAAGTCAGCCCTGGACACTGTACTCAGGAGCCTGACCCCAACCCTCTTGGGGTGAACAGCCCCAATAACTGTCTGAGAAAACTGGCCCCCATGGGTGTTCCCAGGCACCCTCAGAGTGTGTCGGGCACTCTCTGGAGCCAAGGCCTGGCCCGGAGAAGAAGCTGGTCTCTCCATTTAGACCATTTAATCCAGGGAGGGGAGGACAAGGCCGCCAGGCCTCTGGGATTCAGCCCTGGATGCTGGTGTTGCACAGAGGGCAAGAGGTCGCGGTCCTGACGCTGGTCACTGAGTGGGCTGGACAGCTGTTGTATTACATGGACGTAGAATTTCACCCAGCCCTGCACTTCCAAAAGGACAGGAACTTGACCACAGCCTGCACCGTCCAAAACGATGCTGGCAACCTCTCTCATTCCTCTGACCAGGTGGCGTGGTGGCACTTAGCAGACTAGCCAGCAAGGGGCTGACGTGAGCACAGTGTTCCTGCCACCGGACACACCAACCGTGACATGAGAGGCTGGCCTGCTGATGCCGAAGCATCGTTTAAATCCTAATAGCACATGTTTTCAGAATGTTCACGGAAGCTACGACCTTCGATATTAATGAAAATACCCCCCCTGTTGTCTGTGAACTCCTCACAGTTCGTGTGTGCATTACTTGACTATTGCACCTTCTGCTAGAGAGCAACTCAAACCTTTGTGAAAGGCATCGACACCCTAACCTGCTCCCACCTGCCACACAGCAAGCTTCGTATCTCCTGCCAAGGAAACAGTTCAGTCCAGTTTGGGCAGCAGAATCAACTTTGCCTGCGGGGTGAACGTCTGCAATTATTCAAATATTTTATGACATTTGCCCTAAATGTTCATTTTAATTTTCTAGGAACTGAAAGGCAAAACGGCACAGGTCTCAGACACTCCCCTGAAGGGGAGGGACACTCCCTGCCATGTGTTAGGCTGAGCCCCTCCCTGCTGGGTCTCATGCCCTCCACCCCGCGGCTCCCCGCGCGAAGCAAACTTGTAATCTCTGTTATCCTCCGAAAGAAAGCAAGTCCAGGGGAGGACAGTGATTTCTCCAAGGACCACCAGGTGGCCGAACTGAAATGTAACCCAGGCTATCCGATTCCAAAGGCTTTGTTTACGCCTGCAGACTCGATTCTTCTCCTGGGAGCCTAGTATCATTTTATTAACTCATGTTTCCTCCCAGTATTACTTCAAAGACTGGCCAACTTAGCAACTATGAGCCACTTGAACTGGTTGATTATTCTCTGAACTGGAAAACATCAGGCAGTGGTGAGTAAAGTGGTCAGTGCAGTGTTGAGTACAGTGGTCGGCGCAGTGGTGAGCACAGTGGTGAGCACAGTGGTGAGTGCAGTGGTGAGCACAGTGGTCAGTGCAGTGGTGGCACAGTGGTGAACGCAGTGGTCAGTGCAGTGGTGGGCGCTGTGGTCAGTGCAGTGGTCAGCACAGTGGTGAGTGCAGTGGTGAACGCAGTGGTCAGTGCAGTGGTGAACGCAGTGGTCAGTGCAGCGGTGGGCACAGTGATCAGTGCAGTGGTCAGCGCAGTGGTGGGCGCAGTGGTCAGTGCAGTGGTCTGCGTAGTGGTCAGCACAGGCCCAGGACACCTCTATGTGCATCAGAAGTGCCCTCAGACAGGTACAGCATGCAGACTTGCAACTTGGCAAGGAGAGAGCCTTCGTACGAGTTAGAAAATGGCTCCCCATCCCAGGAACCTGCCTCACTCCGGGATGTACAGCCCGGGGAGCAGACTGTGTTCCCTTCGATTCACGTGTGCTGTCACCCACGTGCTCTGGTGCCTCAGATGCCTTGGTGACTTCATACATGTGTGCATGTTTATGTGAAGGTGTGAAAGAGAAAGAGAGAGAAGAGAAAGGGAGAGAGAAGAGACAGCTTCCTTAGAGTACCACCTGAACGCCTGGATCCAGCTCTTCCTGAAGCCTTTACATCCCTGGATTTCTCAATAGCACATTCCATTTGTCGCCTAAGCCACTTTGAGCTGAGTTTCTAATACTAGCATCTGAAAGAGCTGTGACAAACCTTAATTAATGAACATATAGACACTGAGCAAGAAATGGCAACAGCCTGTTGGCCCCTAGCGAGCCCAGAATACATGGAATAGAACAGTGCCCCCACTACTGAAGGCCGTTTCCGGGGTGGTAGGCATCTAGCAATGGGCGTTCACCAGTAAAGGTTGTAATGCTTTAGAAACAGGACGGGCATAGCAGGCATGTCTGAACTATGAGGAGGATTGATACACGAAGGACGGGCTGTGTATGTAACAGGAGAACCCGAGTGTCTGGACCACAGAGACCAGAGCACAGATCATTTGAAAAAGGCAACAGGAATCTGAGCAGGGAGAGTACAGACAATGGTTTTGCCGATACTTCTGGAGTGATGAGAAATTTAGGAGATTAAATATCAGAACGGCTTAATTTGCTGGTGACACAGTGATGGGCACAGTGATGCGTGGGCTAACTTCCAGGGCACTGGGTCATGGTCACGTTACCTTGTCATGCTGTGGGCTCCTACCATCACCAGTGACTTGTTGTGGGTCGAATGCCAAGTTGGAGAGTCTGGGATAACCTACGCCTGAGAGCCCTGTGGGCTGGGGCCCCTGAATCGCATCATCGCCGCCCTCTGGGAGGACCTCACTGAGTGCACCCGAGGAAGCGGTCCTTGGAGGACATGCTGGGCTCCACATGCCTGATTTCTTTCCAGTTTACACCTGGCTTTTCTGGAGGGAACTGGGTCGCACTGGAAAGTATACTGCCCCTTAAAAAATAGGGTGAATGTACCCGGCCGGTGTGGCTCTGTGGGTAAGCATTGACCCTGCACCAAGAGGTCATCAATTCAATTCCCAATCAGGGCACATGCCCAGGCTGTAGGCCCGATCCCCAGTGGGGGGCATGCAGGAGGCAGCCAATCAATGTTCTTTCTCATCAATGTTTCTCTCTCTCTCTCCCTCTCTCTGTAAAATCAATAAAGAAAAAACATTTTTTAAAAATAGAGTGAATGCTTCCGACCCCGTTATCTCTGGTAGATGATGATTACTTCTGCGCTCCTTAAACACGGAAAGAAGCTGTAAGTATTTAAACACTCGGGAACTACCTTGTAGATTAGCCTCCGGAGGCTGACTTTCTCAAACATACCGCACTCAAGAGTAAACATCTACAACTTTCTCGCTCTCGGAGCCCCAGCCATGGCCCCACCTTGGAGGCTGGTCCTTTCTTTCCGGGCTCGGAGCCCCTGCTGAGCTGTCCTCACCGGGACTGGACACCCCGAGCTCCTCCCTGTCCCTGCGGGTCTGACAGCCGGCTTGCTGCTGAGGCAGCCTGGGGGCGGGGTGCCGCACTGCGCTTCTGGGGTGCGGGCAGCGCATCTAATAGACCCCTGCTCCCTGGGCATGTCGTGGGCTCCCCATGAGCTTGTGTGGAGGGAATTCGATCCAGTTACTTGGCTTAAGCTGACCAGAGCCTACCGGTCCCTTAGGCACCACCCTTTCACCATCATTGACCCATCCCCCACCCCAAACACCTCACAGCTCCTACACCCATGGCTCCTCTCCTTGCAGAACATCCTAGCAAGGGCCTCATCACCCTGTTTGTGGGTGTTTCTTTACTCTTTGTCCCTCTATTAAGTTTTAAGAACCTTCGAGGTTGAACAGACCCATCATAATCTCTGCCTCTCCTATACCTAGCACAAGCTTTGGAACAGCGAAATTATAAAGTAAATAATATAATTAGTAACGTTCTCACACTGTATGTTGTGTTCTATTATCAGCAATCATTTACAACATTTTTTTGTTAACGACAAAACCAACTGAAGATAACTCTTTAGCCACCCATACCCATGTACGGGACATTTCCTGCCAGCCACTGTCCACTGCTGTCCAGATGTTCTTTAGGGAGTATCATCCTAGCTAAGGAGGGGGACCCTGGGGCTCAGACCGCAGGCCCAGGGAGAGGCAGACCCAAGGTCCCACCAGCGATCTCACTGGCTTGACAGTGGCCCTCTCTACCTGGACTGCACGGATACCGTGCCTAAGAGGGGTTTTCAGCATCTAAACCTGCCCTCATCTCTGGAACCCACTGCACTTAGGAAGAATGCAGAAACCCTAACGTGGTGACCAGCTCTGTAGCTCCGGCCCTGCCCATCTTCACCCTGTCCCTTCCCAGGCCAGGTCCTCGGTCACTTCTCTCTCTCCCAGCTGACAGATGTCCTCCAGCTTTCTCCTGACTCAGGACCTTCAGCAAGCCCCCCTTGGCCAAACACACTTCCTCAAAACACTTGAGTCCACAGTCCCCTCTTCAGCTCTCAGCTTAAAGGTCAATTCCTTGGAGAGAACTTCTGATCTGCCCAAATTAAATGATTTTCCTGCTGTCTCTCATTGTGCCGTGTTTCCTATGTCTATGGTTCCACACAAGTTACAAGGATCTAATTATTTCTGCAGTTATTTAATGCATATTTCCCTTTATAGTGAGGCTATCAGAGAGTGAGGCCCATGTCAGCTGTTTACAACTGTGCCCCTGGCTCCTGGCTCCTGCCAGAGGGATCTGAGCTCCTGGCGGAGGGGTCTGAGCTCCTGGTGGAGGGGTCTGAGCTCCTGGCGGAGGGGTCTGAGCTCCTGGCGGAGGGGTCTGAGCTCCTAGTGAGGGGTTTGAGCTCCTGGCGGGGGTCTGAGCTCCTAGTGAGGGGTCTGAGCTCCTGGCGGAGGGGTCTGAGCTCCTGGCAGAGGGGTGTGAGCTCCTGGCAGAGGGGTGTGAGCTCCTGGTGGAGGGCTCTGAGCTCCTAGTGAGGGGTTTGAGCTCCTGGCGGGGGTCTGAGCTCCTAGTAAGGGGTCTGAGCTCCTGGCGGAGGGGTGTGAGCTCCTGGCAGAGGGGTGTGAGCTCCTGGCAGAGGGGTGTGAGCTCCTGGCGGAGGGGTCTGAGCTCCTGGCGGAGGGTCTGAACTTCTGGTGGAGGGGTCTGAGCTCCTAGTGAGGGGTCTGAGCTCCTGGCAGAGGGGTCTGAGCCACCCTGAGCAGAGGAGTGGAGAGACACATGCTTCAACTGCTCAGTGTGGCTTCAAAGCCCCTTACAAAGTTCTTGCAAGTCAGACTGACTCGATGGACCAATTATTGACTTAGGCAGTCAAGAACTTAAACCAAGGGCCCTTCTGTTTCTATTTCGGGTTCAAGGTAGATTGCAGTCCACTGGGTAGAGGGAGGAGCTAAGTGGTGTTTACCTGAACGTGATCTTTGTGTAGAGAGGCGTAGAGCTCCTGCCCTCTTCTTCTGTAGCTCTCGACACACGACACAAAATCCTAGGGAAGGAGACAAGAAGTCACTGCTGAGCGGGAGCTGATCTCAGATGAGACCTTCTTTACTCTGGCCAGTCGCCGAAGGAAGTAACACTTCCAGGATTTGTGGTCAGATCCATCACAACCTCACGAATGAAGGTTCCACCTGAGCGGATACACTCACACACGTCTGTGGGGTACTTCCTCTCCCAGCTTGCGGCAGATAAATCCTCCTCCCAAGAATAACAGAAACTCTAACTTTGAAAGATCTGCTTTAAGACAGCAGAGAGCTACCAAGAGAGCCAAGACTAGGGAGCCAAGGTCTTGGAGAGAAAAACTCAGAGATGGTCTCAGCGCCTAATAACTGTGTGGTTTTATTTCCCTTGAGATATTCCCACAAGAGGCTGAGAAGCTTGACGGAAGGGGTGGCAGACGCAGCGAAGCTCAGCCAGCTGCCGGGAGTCTCTGGGGGCTCAGGGACAACCTGGAGTCCAGGCTCACCAGGCCATCCAGAGCGTAAAGGAGCAAGAGCCCCAAAACAGCACAGTAAAGAAAAATGGGCCCCGCTTTCTGCATTGATATTCCCCTTGAGCAGCTGCCAATTCTTAGGCAGTGTGGGGCTGAGGGGCAGAGAAAATGGGTAAAGCTGCCCCCAGTCTCAGTTTGCGGAAACCAACAGGAGTGGGGCTGCAGTGGGGGGACCCCTGAAGGGCTGCACCATGGGGATCCAGGTAGCTGGACGCCATCCCGGCCTCACAGAGCTGAGACCCTGCTGCCAATAACTCAACCGCCAAGTCCATTATGGTGATCGCCCACCACAAGTGCATTCCAGAAGACAAAGAAAGTTCTCTTTGGATAAGGATCACATCACCTGAGCTGCTAATGCTGAGTTTTCATACAAAAGGTTCAGCAGTCAAGCAGAAATTATTAGATATGCCCATAAATCACCAGAAAAATAAACATGTGTCCAGATGTTAGAGCTATCAGACATGGACCTTAAAATAATGCAGGTAATATTGTCCAAAATGCAACATGGGAAATTTGGCAAGAGACATGGAATGTTTGAAAAATAACCGAGTAAAAATTATAAATCTGCAAAATGAATTAAGTGAAATAAAAACACTCTGGGTGAGTTTAACAGAACACGGGATGAGTGAAGTTGAAGAAATATCCTTACTTAAATATCATGAGATAAAACTATGGAAAATATTAAAAGGATATAGTTGGATACCTGTGTAACATGGAGAAGGCACCTAGCATATGTGAAATTAGTCTCAAAAGGGGAGGAGAGAAACTCCAGGTCAAAAGGAATATGAAAACTTAATGAGAATTTTCTGAAATAGATGAAAGAATTCAGCCACAGATTTGACAAATTCTACAAACCAAAAACAAGAAAAATATTCCAAAAACCACATATAATCCCATCATAGTAAAACTGCAAAAACAAAAGGTGAAGAAAAATATTCAAAAACACACAGGAAAAGTGATATTATCTTCAGAAAGGGACGATAAGAATGGCAGCCCTGGCCCGGTGGCTCCGTGGGCTGGGGCACCAGCCGCAGACCAAAGGCTGCAGGTTGGAGTCCCGGTCAGGGCACATACCTAGGTTGTGGGTTTGATCCCCAGGGTGCATACTGGAGCCAACTGATCGATTTTTCTCTCTCACATCAATGTTTCTCTCTCTCAAATCAATAGAAACATATCCTTGGGTGAGGATTAAAAACAATAAAGAATGAAGAATGGTAGAGGCCAGAAGACAATGAATGATCTTCATGTCCTGAAAGAAAATAACTGTCAAGCTTCAATTCTCTACACAGTGAAAATATCTTTCAAAAGTAAAGCAAACTAGAACATTTGCGGTGACCACACTGAGAGAATTGCATCACCAACAGAACAGCACTAAACGAAACACTAAAGTGCTTTTCAGGTAGAATAAAAATGATCCAGCCCTGGCCAGTTTGGCTCAGCGGTTAGAGCGTCGGCCTGCGGTCCGGAGAGACCCGGGTTCGGTTCCCACTAAGGGCACGTACTTCGGTTGCAGTTTGTCCCCGGCCCTGGTTGGTCGTGCGGGTGGCAGCCACTTGATGTGTCCCTTCACATCGATGTTTCTCTCTCTCCCTTCCTCTCTCTCCCTCCCACTCTATCTGTACAAAAAATGGAAAAATATCCTCGGGTGAGGATAAAAAAAAACCAAATGATTCTATATTGAAGCATGAAACTTCAGAATGAATAAAAAACTATGGAAATAATAAATATGTTAGCATATATAAATGAATACTGGCTATTGGAAAATAATAACAACAATAACTCCTTATGGGATTTGAAAAAACGAGGAATTAAAATACTTGAAAAAATAAAAGATGGAGTAAATAAAATAAAATATTCTAATTTTCTTTAATTAAAATTTTGTTTTAAGGGGGAGGGGCTAATTTACATTAGACTCTAATAAAGTAAGTGTGCATGTTGTGATTTCTAGAATAACCACTAAAAATATAACAAAAGAATATGTAGCAGCCTGCTAATAAAAAGTAATTTAAAAGAGTTGATAATACGTTGAAAGAGGGAAAAAGGAATAACCAACAGATATCACAAATGGAAAATAAATATTAAAATGATTTAAACTAAAAATATCATTAATTACATTAAATATAAATGGACTATGCTCCAAATAAAAGATAAATGAAGTCATACTGGATCAAAAACAAAACCTAACTAAATTCTGCGGATCAGAAACACTCAATGAAAATAAGGGCACAGAAAGTTTAAGGTAAAAGGCTGAAGAAAGGTATATTGTACAATCACTAACCAAAAGAAATCTGGTAAAGCTATATAGATCTCTTATAAAGCAGACATAATGGAAGAATTATTACTAGCCATAATTATAAAAGGGTCAATACACTAGGAAACTATAAGTTTTAAACATGAAACATCTAAAAACAGCTCAAAGTATATAATATATAAAATGACAGAACTAAAAGGAAAAACAAATGTACAATAACACAGGAGGATGTTAACTCATTTCTCAGTAACTAAATTAATCCAACAAGAAAGGTAGAGAATATCTGAAGAACATATAAGCAAACATGACCTAATCAAATACAAAAAAATGCAGAATCCACGACAAAATCACTCCTAAAATTTACCATATGATGAAACATAAAACAAGTTTAAGATAGTTTCAAGTGACTCAAATCATACACAATATATTTTCTGAAGCTATAAGTAAATATCAAAAACAAATGTCACAAAATATCTTCCAGGAAATAGAAAAGGTGGGTATACCTTCCAATTTGTTTCATGAAGCTGGCGATACCCTTACACACTCACACTAAAATCCGTCACAGTACAAAAAAGAAACCTATCCATCATGCATAGAAAGGCAAAAATCCTTAACAAAATATTAGCAAATAGAATTTAGTAATACATAAAAAGAATGATACTTGATGACTAAGTGAGGTTTATTCTAGGAATGCAAGGCTGATAAATACTAGAAAAGCAATCACTGCAGTTACCATAGTTGTAGGGTAAAGAAGAAAATTACATGATTATATCAATTGACGCAGAATAGCATTTGACAGAATTCTCAAATTCATTATAAAATTCTCAGAAAGCTAAAAATACAGGGAACTACCTCCACTCGACAAAGAACATCTAGGAAAAGCCTAAGCTAATGTGACGTTTAATGTGAAACAATGGGTGTGAAGTAAGTCTGAGAACAAGGTGAGGTATCTGCTTTCACTGTGCTCATTCGACAGAGGGCTCAGAGGTCTTCAATGTTACACCAAAAGCATGATTCAGAAAAGAAAGCAATGAACTGGATCTCATCAACACTGAAAACTGTCGCTCCTCCAAGCCTATGTGAGGAGGTTGTAACGACAGATACCATCTGGGAGAGTATTTGCAGCCACATCTCAATCAAAGGACTGTTATCCGGAATAATGTATAAGAACTCTTAAAACTCAACACTAAAACAATCCAGTTAGAGTATGTGCAGAAGACATAAATAGACACTGCACAAAAGAGAATCTACAGATAGCAACTAAGTATGTGAAAAAATATTCTACAACATTATCCATTAGGAAAACAAAAACGAGAATCACCAGGTATCGCTAGGCACATACCTGAATAGCTAAAATTAAAATGTGGCAACCATAAGCCAATCAGACAAAGACAAATACCATATGATCTCACTTATCTGTGGAATATAATGAACAAAATAAGCTGATAAACAAAATAGACCCAGAGACATAGAAGGAGTATGGTTCAGAATGACAAACTGCAGAGGAGGGGGAAGGGGGATGGATGAGATGAACCAACGAACTTACATGCATGCATGCGTAACCAATGGACATAGACAACAGTGCTGGTGGGGTGGGGGTGGCGGGATGGGGAGGAAGGTGTCTGGGGTGGGGGAGAGAAACATCATAACAATGATAAATTAATAAAAATTGAGGAGGAAAAGAAAGTGGCAACCGGATGCTGGTGAGGATGCAGAGAAGCTGGGTCACTCGCACTGCTGGGGGGACGTCTGGCGCAGCCTCTCTGGAAGACAGGCCAGTGGTTCTCTGAAAAGCTACATAACTACTGTAAGGGCCAGCAGTTGTACCCCAGGAAATATATCCCAGTGAAGTGAAAACTTCTATCTATCACACAAAACCTGCACACGAACGTTTATAGAGTTTTATTCATAATAAACACAAACTGCAAAGAACCCAGATGTCCTTCAACAGGTGAATGGCTAACAAACTGTGGTCCGCCCACACCAGAGAATCCTTCCGAACAGTGAAAGGAAGGAGCTGGATGAATCTGCACAGAACATACAGCAGGAAGAGAGCATCACAAAAGGTCCCATACAATGTAATCCCATTTAGATACCATTTTTGAAATGGAAAAGGGCTAGTGGTTGTGAGGGATCAAGCTGTGGAGACAGGAGGGAAGTGGGACTTGATCAAGGGCGACAGGAGGGCCTGCAGGGGAGAGCGTCCCTGGCGGTGGTAGCGTACTGTGCTTTTGCAAGATGCTGC